TTTTTTTTTTTTTTTTTTTTTTTTTTTTTTGCTGTTGTTGGGCCGAGAGATAGGAAGGAGGAAAGTAAAAAAAAGTTTGGGCCCTTCTTGACTTATTTCGACATCATGAGGCCCAAAATAACTATTTTTCGGCCTATTGGGCCTTTGTGAGGGTTCACGGTCCAAAGAAGCCCAATAATGTGGTTTACGGCTCATTAGGGCTATTGAAACTAATTATGGCCCATCATGGCCCATTAGAAATAAGATTAATTATTATAGGCCCATATGAACCAAAATACCCTAATTTCATGGAGGTGGGTCTAATTAGAGCCCAAACATGGTTCCCAGGCCCAAAGTAGTCAAATTGAAAGTTTATTGGTCCATTAGGCCCAATAAAAGATTCCTAGTCCATATTAACTTGAACCAGGATTTCTAGGGTTTTCAATCTATAGTTGAACATATGAGATGTATTGTATTAGGTTTTGAATTTAAATCAAGAGTTTGGATTCAAATGGATAGTTTCATGTTAGCATATAACATGATATTCACTTAGAGTACAAGTCTTACAATAGTTGATGTTTACATGGAAACATAATTTCCTAGCTAAAATTCTAATTGTGACATAATATTAAAATAAAGACGTTTAACAAACAAACTAGAATATATTTCGTTGTTTCAAAGTCCTAAATTGTCTCGTTGCAAATAAATCATATCATCCCTAAACCTAGAAAACTCTAACTCCAACTTTTCAATTCACATTCATCTCTTTTCACTCTTGTTTGTAACCTTGCTGATTTGATTAGTTAAGTTAGAATTACTTAAACGCGTTCTTTTTAAGCTATCATTAAAATTGGAAACAATAAATTTTAAATCATTTAATTCAGTTTCGTACCGAGAGACATGACTATTAAGAGACTTAAGAATAGAGTGTACCTTGCTGATCACTTTCTCTCATTCACTGATCTGCTAAGAGACAGGTCTTACAGCAAAACAATTGTCAGAAGCATTATCGTTGGCAGTTGTGTATCCTCTTTGCTCCGATACATCATTGCGAACCATCAAGCATTTTCCCTCGTACTCAGGGACTTCAGAGTTTGCTACGAAACACTCTCCATGTGTAGGCTTGCGAACTTCTTCATCCTCTGAATCGGTTGACCAAACTTCAACTCTTCCGAACTCATCAACATCTTCCTGCACAATTAAAGCAGGCTTAATATTACCAACGTTTTTTCTTCTTTCTATGTTCCTCTATCTTTTTGAGATAGTAAGCTTCATCATCTTCTTCATCTTTCTTCTCACTCATTCTTCTCAACATGCACTTTTTAGCCAAATGATTTTTGCCAATAACTCACCAGACGAAACGTGTCTAGAGGTAGGGCGAACCTGATAATTCTCATTGCCTTGATGTTTCTTAGAAATTTATCTTTTTCATCCTGAGTGATCTCTTTAATGTCAATAAGAAGAGCATTATATTATGATTGAGTTTTGATGACTCTCCTAGTTCCCATTTGCATGAAAGTTCCCTCTGTCATGGCTTTCTAGATTATTGTTCCCATGGTTTTCGATACTTAAAATGTAGTTTTCAAAGTGTAAAGCCCAAACTTCATAGTCTTGTGGGAAGAGGATAGGGATTCTGGTTGTAGATCCGATGCTGCTAGAAAGATTGAAAGATAGAGTGTGTGGATCTTCGTGCTGCATGTTGTTGATTCACTAAAGCCCGTAAAGAATCAGATGTGTAAAACTAAAATCGAGTTTAGGGCAAAATAAGGATCAAGCGATCCAATAAAAACGGATAACCCTAATAACACCCGATAGAAGAATTGTGTATGGTTTACACAAGCTCATGCTATGATACCACTTGTTAAAACAAATAATAACTGATTGATAGATTCTCAACAACAATGTAAATCAAACAACAAAAGCAATTGTCGAAGTTGTGCTGAATGATTAAAATCAATGCCTTAGAAGAGCTCGATGAAGAACTTCTCTGTAAAGGCATGGTAGGGAATCACAAAACGATTAACCCTAATACAATACATGCATGTAATATTTATAGTCTAACCCTAGCTCATAATGATGTATGGACAGGCCCAATCCACTAATAATAAAGACTAATTACAAGCATAACAAAATTGACACAACAAAATAAATATCCCAGCAGTAGCCCGTTGCTAGACGTCAACTAATGTCTATGTCAGTCTATAATGAATCTTGTGCAAATGGGAGATTGTTGAATCTATACCCAATAATCATTATGGAGTGATATTGCTAATTATATATGATCCTATAGGGTCACACCTTTATCAAGTTGGTACATTTTGTATATTTATTATTAATGTGATTATTAATAAATAATATTGATTCTTGTATTTTAATTAGGGAATAATTATTATTTTATGAAAATATTAATCATAAGAGAGTATAACTAGTTATTATTTCATATGATATGAATTAATGAGTAATGCACAATATTTTGGACTGGATAGATTCTTTTTTCTTTTACCTAAAGACAAAGTTTATATTTTATAAACTTCGAGTTTATAAAAAATAAAGAATCCATCCTCTTATGAGAGGCATGGCCTATATATATATATATATATATATATATATATATATATATATATATATATATATATATATATAATATTATGGAGGTTGCTTGTCAACCTCCATGCCTTACCCATGCTTCTTGAAAATAGGAGAGTTACTTTATATTATTTTAATGTAAAGCCCTTACCTTCCATGTTCTATATAAGCGATGCATGAGGCCTGAATTTGGAACAAGAAAAACACTCTCTTCTTCTTCCTTTCTTCTCACCAAAATCGTAAGTAGCATGGAGCTACTTCTCTTGTTTTTCTTTTGAAGATCATTCAACTCTTTGGTGGTTCAAAGAGCTTCTCCTTTAGTGCTTATTTGAGTTAAGCATTTAAAGGCTTAAAAAGTACTTTATACAAGAATAAACTAGCATTCCAAGTGCCTTAATCTTGATGGTAGATACTTGTAGAGAAGATCATGTTCTTTGATCTTTACATCTTCATCAACACCGAAAAACCAAGTGGGTTCAAAGGCTTCAAAGGTTATCTCTAAAACATCCTATGGTTGTTTTTATTTCATTCTAACCTCTATAAATGAATCCATGATGGTCTGGTTTGTTATGAACTAAAAATAAACTTGTTATTTTTAAAGTCTCCGTTGCTGGTTTTTGTGAAAAACAAACTTATATTTCATATCAAAACCCAACACGTTGGGTGTACCTGGTAGTACCTTGAGCGTACCAGGTTGGAGCCTCGTAATCAGGAAGGGATTTACTACGTTCAACATAGTGCCTGAGTACGCTAGGCGTACTCATTCTGTGTTGACATCCTTTGACTTTTTGAATTTGACCTAAGGGCATATTGGGTAATTTAAATAGTAGTTGAGATTTAGGTTCCTGTTAATTTTACTGGTAACAAGTAAAGATGGCTTTTGGAGCAGTGATTGGTGTAAATTTTCTTTTAAACTGTGAGGTGAGTCTCCCCATTGTACTTGTGGATCGAAGGCACCAATACCGACCCATTGGATTATGTTGTAGGATAGTAGTGGTGTTCGTAACACTTACTGATATGCTTGTATGTTCTTGATGTCTTTGTAACTCTTACTAGTATGATCATATGCTTAGCTATAAAGGTGAAATAGACTCGTAACATTTGAAAGATACTGAAGGAGTTGGAAGGGACTCAACAAGTCGGAAGGGACTCAGCGAATCGGAAGGGACTCAGAGAGTAGGAAGGGACTCAGGGGTGAAATAGAGTCGTTACATGTTTTAGTATGATACGTATCTATGGTATGTGGTACTTTGGGGAACTCACTAAGTTTTGTGATTGCAGTTTATGTTTATGGTTTTAGGCATTTCCATTTCCAAAAGGAAGGGCTCGACTTAATCGCACTGCATCCTCTGGAGTTTTATTCCGTGCTGAATGTTTACAAATTACTCTGATGTTTTGATAATACTTTGACTCTAATCGTCTTTTGAAACAATGAATTAATGACTTTAACTTATATCAAATGAATTTTTTACTCGATATTTTTGGGACGTTACATTTATACTAAGACCTCCTGCTAGTCCGTACGTGGGACAAGGTCGTCAGGTCCGACAGGATCCGATGCCCTGATTGGTTAATCGTGCTTCTCGTTGTGCCATAACCAATGATTGGTTCAGGTGGTAATTCTCTAAGCATACTCCTTGTCGCTTGGAGTCGTTAGGTTTGTCGTGGGGTGGAAGGTGCCCGCTGCAAGGTTGGGTATTTTGTACGGACGCCCGACTTTGAGGGGATGCCCGCGAGCGCGAGACTTCGTCAAGGCAGCTACGTTGGGAGTAGCTTGGTCTAGCAGTTTGCCTTGAAGAACCTTTAGCGCGGCTGAGCACAACTCCTGGCCCATGCTAAAGGGCATGTTATCAGGGTGCAAAACGAGATTTCAAATATAAATTTAAGACGAGTCTTATTGAACTTGTAAACGATTAATGCAAATTTTCTTGTGCATTACGGTAAGGCACAAGTCAGGACACATACAATATTTTGATGATGACATAGGAGTTGTGTTATGTAACAAATTTAGTTGTGAGTTCTAATTTCCGATGATGAATTTTCAACGAAGATCCAAACAGTTTTCCAGTTAGGTGTTTCGACGAAGTTGTAAGAATGGAACAAAATCATTGATCATTGGTTTTTTGAAGAATGTCTAAACAGATTTCAGAACAGTCAAATGTCGATTTTAAATTATTAAAAGGACAATCTTTCATTATACGTATCAAACTCAACTCATAAAAATAATCGATCATATCCTACTCATCAATGAAAGAAAGACTTTATGATATATATATGTAACAAACTTCTATTTTAGTTTTTAAAAGACCATTTTAACAAATAAAAATCTACTATTTTAGATTACAATGGGAAGTTAAAAAGAAAAGGAAAAAAAAAAAACTTCACCATAATATTTATTTAGTTTAAATATTTTATATAGTTTGTCACCATGTTAACTATGTCGGACCTTTTATGTGTTAACCAGACGGAGGTTCAACGATTCGGAAGAACTTCATATAACATTCCTTTTACTAACCGAGATCACTACTGATAACAACAACCGGCACTGGTATACTCTAATTGCAGTCCTCCATGGTAAAAGGAAGAACACGCCCTTTTCTATCATCTTTTTCTTCTTCTTCTTCTTCTTCTTCTTCTTCTTCTTCTTCTTTACTCATTATCTGTTCCAATTCTTAATTTTTCAATTTCAATTCCTATGCAGGATTACTCCAAATCAGTAATCCCTTCTCACCTCCTCGCCGACCGTGGCTCTAATCTAGTTGTCATCAATCCAGGTAATTACCTTTCTAAACCCTAATCTATACGTATTTCTGTAATATTTTTATGAATTTTTCTGTAATCATCAACACTGATACTTTCTATCAATCTATTCACTCCTGGCACTTGTCCAAAGTGGTTCAACTTTCTCGCCCAAACTAAAATTTGAGTTCAATCCCGCTATCGATTTATGCCCAATTCATCAATGGAGGGGATTTTCTTTCGTTTTTGAAAAAACTTCGTTATTACACTTTAGTTTCTCATCTTCTACCCAAAATATACGAAAATTTTGCTTTTTATTCTAGGGTCTGGAAATGTACGAATTGGATTAGCTCAACAGGATGCCCCATTCAGTATTCCTCATTGCATCGCTCGTCGTACTACAGAATCTAATCAATCACCCAGAAGAAACGTGCAAGATCAGGTAGATTTTATACTCCTAGGGTTCTTAAACTTAATAACTATATTCTATTATCCATCATTGTCTTTCCAGTTAATTTCTTGTGATGTGATGAACTTACCAGATGCTTAATTCTCAAGTTACAACATCCCAACATGCAGATAGGGAGAAAGCCTATGACATTGTAAGTAATCTATAGTTTTTTTTTTATTTTTTTTATTCATTTATAAATCTATGTTCATGTTTTTTGAAGATGTTTCTCTTGTTGTAGATAGCATCCTTGTTAAAGATACCATTTCTTGATGAAGAAGTAGTAAACAACTCTTACTCACGAAAGGTAACACTTCTTTACTATTTGATTCTATCATTCTACACATTATTATCAATATAATCAATGTACTTTATTATAATTTTTTTATATATTTTTATTATCTCTAGACGGGTCGAGTTGATGTATTATCTCAACAAAACAGTAAGAAAGAGAGTGCCTTGACATGGACTGATGTATCCCAGCAAATTACCGATTTGCCCTTGCCAGAAAGTTCATTAGAGAAGAATGAGCTTCTAGAAGGTGAGAAGCAGCAGCCACAATCAAGTGAGTGCAGGTACAGGGAGTTTGTGTGTGGTGAAGAAGCTATGAGAATATCTCCTACTGAGCCTTATTGCTTAAGGCGTCCTATACGTAGAGGACATTTTAATATTTCTCAACATTACTCCATGCAACAGGTACTCAGAAGGGTATTTTCGTCATTTAGTAAAAAAAAAAGATTTGGAATTTTTAGTTTTTGTTTATTTCCATTTGTTTTTTTTATTTTTATTTTTGTTTTATAGGTAGTTGAAGACATAGAAGCTATTTGGGATTGGATGTTGATTGAAAAACTACATATTCCTCAAAGTGAAAGAAACATGTATTGTGCTCTTATTGTAGTACCTGAAACATTTGACAATCGAGGTAATCATGTTTTTAATCTTTTATATTTTCTTTTTATTGATTTATGATTATGATTTAAAGTTTTAAACTACAAAAACTACAATTGAACTCTTATTTTGGTTTATACTTTTTCAGAAATCAAGGAAATATTATCTATTGTATTACGAGACTTGCGATTCAGCTCAGCTGTAGTCCACCAGGTAATTTTTTATTTTTTTTATTTTTTAATTTTTGTTAAAAACTTAAAAAGTAATACCATTTTTTTTTTTTTTTTTTAAATTCAGGAAGGTCTTGCTGCAGTGTTTGGAAACGGATTATCAACAGCATGTGTTGTGAATATTGGTGCTCAGGTCACATCAGTTATTTGTGTTGAGGTGCAAAAAATTTTAATTTTAATTTTTTTTTTGTTAATTAAATTGTAGAATTTAATAATTTGCATAATTTGGAACTCAAAAGAAATTTAATTATTTGACTTTCAATTTTTATTTATTGTTGTTGTCAGGATGGAGTTGCTCTCCCTCATACACAGATCACATTACGTTTTGGTGGAGAGGTTTGAATTCTATTTTCAGATATAATTAATATATTACAAAAACAGTCCCTGTAGTTTTATGATATTAACCATGTTTAGTCCAAAAATAAAACTTTTTCAGATTAGGTCCTTATTTCAATGTTTCATGTATTGTTAAATCTAACTGATCAAATGTTTTTTTTTGCCCTTGGACCAAATCTGAAAAAAAAAATGTATACCACAGGGACCAAATCTGTAATTTATTCAAATGTGAGTGGCTTAAGTGTAAATATAACATTTTCAGGATGTATCAAGATGTCTTTTGTGGACTCAGAGGCACCATCAAACATGGCCACCAGTTCGCACAGATCCTCTTACAAAGCCAATAGATTTATTGATGCTGAACAGACTCAAAGAATCTTATTGCCAAATATATGTGAGAGATGATTTAAAATAAATAATTATTTAAAAAAAATTAATAATAGTTCAGTTTCTAATTTTATAAAACGGTGAAAATTACAAAGGAGGGTGAGGTTGAAGCTGTTGGGGTGGTTCATTCATATGAAGACGGCTTGCCACCTGGATCTCATAAAACAAGGCTCACCGCTCTTAATGTACGGAACCTCTTTTTTTTATCTGTTTGTTGTACTGCGTTTGACATGCATTGGACTCTGACCGATACTGATGTCAACGAGACAAAATTACAATTTTTTTTTTTGTCTCGTCCAGAAAGGTGGGATATGAACTCGCTCTCGATCTTTCGTCTGTGCAAAAGACGTAATCGCCCTTCTCATCCTCGCCGTCGAGAATAGCCCTAGAAAGCCTTCTAGGGCTAGTTTTAACGAGGACGAGGAGGGCATTCACGTCTTTTGTACTAATGAGAGATCGAGAACGCATCCATTTCCCACCTTTCTGGACGAGACAAAAAATTGTAATTTTGTCCGATTGTCATCAGTATCAGCCACAGTTCAATGCATGTCAAACACAATACAAGTCTTTGTATTACTGATTTACTGTAAACAATAATTTTTTTTTTAATTATATATAATAATATAATAATAATAATAGGTGGCACCAATGGGACTTTTCTATCCAACACTTTTGGTTCCAGATGTTTATCCACCTCCACCTCGTTCATGGTGAGTGTTAACTTTGTATCCATTTTGTGGTAAAAAAATGATTTGATTTAATATATATTTTTTTGTTGCTGTGTAGGTTTAAAGATTATGAGGATATGTTAGAGGACACGTGGCATATCTCAGATGGATCATATCCAGGTGTGAATAATCCGTTACAGATGTGGGATAATTATCCGTATTCATCAAACCAACAGAAAAAAGAAGATAATATTGGGCTTGCAGAAGCAATTTCAAAGAGTATTCTTTCAACAGGGCGTATAGATCTTCAAAGAAAGTTGTTTTGTAGCATGCAATTAGTGAGTTCTACTTCTATATCCCCAATTGTAATTTTTGAGCAATTTTGTATGTTAATTTAATGAGCTTAGAATTTTTTTTTTTTTTTTTGTATTTTTAAATTTTAACCAATGAGATGTTTTTTAATATTGTAGATTGGTGGAGTGGCTTTGACAACTGGTCTTATTTCTGCTGTAGAGGAGAGGTTTGAAATTATTACTTTCTATTTTCAAAACTTCAATTACTTTACTAGATTAAAAAGATAAGAGATGTATTTACTTTGCAGAGTTTTACATGCGATTCCCTCAAATGAAGCAATTGATACTGTTGAGGTTATTTTTTTTTTTATTCTAATAGAGATAATTAGCCAAAAGGTTTTACTTTTAATTTTTCTTATGCAAAATTTGTCGTTTCTTGAATAGGTCCTACAATCAAGAACCAATCCGTCCTTTGTTGCATGGCGAGGCGGAGCTGTAAGTCAAAACTCTACCTTTTTATTTTCGGTGATGAGGGTATTTCTGTCTTTTTCACGGACAAGAGATCAAATGGGACAAAATGTTGCTAGTTTTGTCGTATTGCTATCAGTCTGTGTCGTGGTCCAGTGCATATCAAACACAATACAAAACGTCATCATGTTGTGTATAAATGCTTACACTTATTTTATGTAGATATTGGGCGTGATTGATTTTGTTCGAGATGCTTGGATACATCGAGAAGATTGGATTCAAAATGGGATTCATATTGGAGGAGTTAGAAAATACAAAGATTCTTATTATCTACAAGCGCAACCAATGTGTTACATTAATTCCTAGAATTTGAAACGTGTTTGTGTTTGTGTTAGGTTTATGTTATTACTTATTAACCTCTTCATTTTATTATATACTAATTTCATATTACAATGAGGATTTTGTTATTCAAGTTTCATATTCCTAAATCCTAACTAGTAAAATCCTAAAATCACTATCAAACTTCGTATATAAAAAGGAGTTAGGCTAAAAAAAACACGTCATTTTTTTATTTAGACATCCTATCAAAATGTTTTTTTTGGTTGTTTGTTCAACATGGACTAGAAGGTTATAATTTTCCATGTTTGATAGTTTGTATTTTTGGGGTGAATGTCCCACATCGAGTGGAAGATGAAAGATTGGTAGGTGGAGGAGAGTATAAGAAGGGGGGAAGGTGTAACTTTTAAAAACTAAAAGGGTCGGTTGGCTAAATATGCCACGCTTACCTATTAATGGTGAGTGCCGTATGGATATCAAGACATATGGCCGACATAATTTGTGGAAACTCATAGGGTTGGCTCCCTTTGGCCGACCCTCCATGTTTTATGTGAAATCATTTTTTGTTATTTTGTAAAATATATAATAAAATCATAATATTAATTTCGTTCGTAAGGTACACAATTGTGAGTTTGTGACTACAATATGTGAAGCCACGTTAACTTTTTTTTTTTTTTTTTTTAGTTATTTTTATTTCTTACGTTGATTTAAGATTTAGATATAATGCAAAGAAAATCAACAAAATAAGCTACTCGTAACATAAAAAGAAGCATTTTATCCTCTCTCTCTATAAGTAATATACAAATAAACATTCTTGTTATTCTAAAACTATAACAAGACCATTATTTTTGAAGGCCATCAAGGGGACCCACGTTCTTAGAAGGGTCAGGTTCACCTTTTAGGTGTTGTTTGTTTTTTTGAAACCAAAATGTCTGTAGTCTGCGAACCACATCTGCATGCAGTCTGCGGACCACATCTGCAAGCCTCTGCAGCAGAAGAAGTGGACCAAATGTCTGCAGTCTGCAATAAGAAGACTGTTTGTTTTTAACGTCTGCAGCTGTTGAAATAAATTAATTTTTCAAACTTAATTTCATGTCATAAAGATTAAAATTGCATTTTCAGCAAAAAGAGGAAAAAAAAAAAACGGGTGGTTTTTTTTTTTTTTTTTGGTTAAAATGAGGTCTGAAGACCTTTGAAGACAGTGACCCATGTCTGCACCAGGAAGATCTCGCGCAGACGTTGCGCACTTCCAAAAAACAAACACTCTGCGAGGGCATATGTTTGCGCGTTGTCTGCGCAGCGCAGACAAAAGTGGTTGCACAACTCTTCACAAAAAAAAAAAAAAAAAACAACCCCTTAGTCTACTAGGTGCATCCATAAAGAAGTCTCAGGTGCATCCCACTTTAGTCTACTAGGTGATGTGGATACTTTTGGATAGATATAGTTATACACGATTTAATAGTCATTTTCAAAAAACCAAACATACGTGTTAACTTCATATAATCATAAGCCAACCTCCTCCCGCCAATCTCGAGCTCGCTCCCTTAGACATCCCGTAGCAAACCTCACCTTCAACCCCTCGGGACAGAAGCTCGTCATCTGGACACACTCAATGTTAGCTACCCAATGCCTGGCTGCAATGAGGTGCTTCACCCCAAAGGAATATGGTGCCCCACATCCCTTCAAATCCTTGAAGGAGAGAGTGCAGGCCCCAGACTGGCTAGCGGCTAGATCAGCCCTAAAGATTCGAAGGCGATCCTCCATTAGCTCGATGATACCCTTGTTGATCGACCCAAACATCATCGAGGTCGCATCAAGGATGACTTTAGTAACCTCAGTTGTAATGAACTCGCATAGCCTCTCATTAATCGGTTCGGTGCTCATGCCCGAACCAAATCCCGATCCTGAACCCTTTACCCCATGACGTGTCACCATCATACTGAAACATAACCACATAAACAATTAGCAAATACACGAGAAATTTCACACTCTCGAGTTCCCTAGATTCATTATGGTCTTCCTAGTCTTCAGGTATAAATCTTGCGCTTTTAGTAGTACGGACCTAATACTACCTTCTACACTTATTTATACCCTCCTCAAGGACTACCCCGACTCCTCCAAGCCACTCTTCGTAACTAGTACATTCCTCATACTATAAGGCATCCTACACACCAATGCATATCTTAAGGTTTTCCTAGGACTCCCTTCCCTACCCCTCTCTGCTATCAGCTGCAGAATGAACTTCCATTGATACCACCTAACTACTACATAAACACAGTTACATACTACCGGTACTAGATAATTTTTTGAATGACAGTCCCCAAACTACAACGATTGGACTCAAACAAGAGTTGCACAATATAGTTACACCTATCCTTCTAAAATTATCCAATCACAATAATATGTAACCTAACGCATTCATCCACTAGTTAGTTAGTACCAATAGTATTACCTGAAGCTCAAAGCATGAAACATTCGAGCATCAGGCAATTCAACTCAAAACATAACCTATACAGGCCATCCTATCAAGTAATTGATCTGATACCAACATACGAATCTATAAGCTTATACAAATAGGCACATAAAGGCATCTCATCTATCATTTTATCATGCAATTCTGAGCAGATCCTTAGCCTCTAATCTAGCATGCAATTCTCATATTTTAGCATAAAACATATAACATGTATGAGTATTTTGGAAAGACTTACTTGAGCTGTCTGATTGCACGGATCACACCCATTTTTTCTTTTATTAAAATCCTTTGATTAAAAATGTTTCTTTTTATGGAAAAATATACCAAACCCTTTATTTGACTCCAGGTACACCTGAGAGTATGCCCAAATCCCTCAAACCAAGGCTCTGATACCAAATTGTTGTTGGATTAGTGTCTAAGTCCATAACTATTTTGGTATGTACTTGACCCGATTATGAGCATGGTCCTTTTGGGTTGCCTTCACCATAGCAATATGTAGGATGATTTAAGGAGAGAAAGGTTTAAATATGATTTATTAATATATTATGAGAATAATATATTAAAGGAGAAATCATATTGTTTAATTAATATTAGTCAAGAATTAATTGATAATTAATTTTTGTGGCTAAAAGAGATTAATTAAATTCAGGGGACTGGACTGCAATTATTGGATAATTGAGTTATTGGGCTAAGGAATACTAAAGGAATAAGGGGTGAACGAAATTATGATGGAAGCCCATCATATTTTCGTCCATAGCCTTATCCAGAAGGTTCCATGGGCTGCTTAGAGTTTAAGCTGTCCATTAGGGTTTTGACTGAAACCCTAGCAGCTCACACAAGTATATAAATGACCCCTTAGGCTCCAAAAACGTGGAAAACTAATTCTCTAGGGTTTCTAGTCGTTTTTGGGCAGCCTCTCTTTTTCTCCTCTTCATCCAAGTTGCATATGGTGTTTGTGACTCCATTAGAGGTGCAACACTTGAGGCACTAAGCTTTTGAAGCCAATCCAAGCAAGGAATTGATTGTTATTGCTATATAACAATCAAAGGTAATTATATAAACCCTAATTCAGTTTATAATATGTTAGATCTAAGTTTATTAGTCTTGGATTCAAAGCATGTACAATAGAGAAACCTAGATCCAAGCATTAGGGTTTGTATGAGCACATAGGATTGTTCTTATGCATAAAACCCATCAGTGGTATCAGAGCCTTGATTGGTTTCAGTTGTATGTGATGCTATGTTGAATTATTTACTGAAAAATGAGTTTTTTTTTACCTCTGCCCGACTCAACTCGGCGAGTCAGTATCTGGACTCGGTGAGTTGGCCCTACTCGGCGAGTCAGTGCGTCAGGCAGAGGGTATTTCGGGATTTAGCTGCTGTTTTGACTTGGATTTGATGCTTAAATTGTTTTATGAAGTTAAAATCCGAATTTTATCTTAATTATATGTTTATCCTTGCCAAAACAATAGATAATTTCAAATCTTTTAAATATTGGTTGTTTATGTGATAAATATGGATTATTTAAAGTTATTTGGTAATTATCTAATGACTAAAATAAGATTAGGTCAAATATAGATAATTATGAAATTAATTGTTTAATTTGAATTATTTGTTGTTTGATCCCTAATGTTTTGAAATGTTTCAAAACTTGCCCTCAAGTTTTGGAATTTAAAATTTTGATTAAAAGTTTAATTTTGAAATGTTAAATTCTAAAACCCTAGTAATTTGAAAAGTTCAAATCACACCCTTATGGTTTTATTAATTAATTAAAGTGTATAATTAAAAGTGATTTAATAAACCCATAAAGTTTTGGTTTACATTTAATTAAATTAAAGTATAATTTACTAAGATAAACCACCTAGTATTTTAAAAGTTAAAATACACCCTATACTTATATAACATTAAAGTCTAATATTATATATATGTATGAGTAAACAGTCAGTCTTACCGTTAGTAGGCCTCATTCACGAAGCTGGTCTATAAGGGGTGTTTAAGGAAATTGCCTATAAAATGGCGATTGAATGGGTATCCACTCTTACCCACCGCACTCTTGACTAGTGGAGGGTCGTTAGCCGAACGGGTAGGATAGGACAGAAACCTTCCATTATAAGTATAATGAAGTACAAAGTAACTAAATGCTTTACAAATTCCCAAATCATAGTTACTTTAGGAAAATGTGAAATTGTATGCTAACCCATGGAATTACACTTCGTACCCTTGTCAAACGTTAGTGGAGCGTGTGTGGTTAACCGGCACACTAATTTGGGGATGACATTGGTGGCGAAGGGTGGCTCGATGCTTATCATAGATCAATGGAGCGTGTGTGGCTAACCGGCACATTGATTAGGTGATAGTAGCATTGGGTGCACCACGTGATTCGTATGGTTATTCACACCTTGTTTGTGATCCTCGGCATCCCAGTCACAAATAGTAGGGCATAATCGAGATTAAACATGCCATTGAAAAGTTCAATGAATCTCAAAAGATCTAGGAGTTTCAATTCATTTAAAACTTAAACTTCTTTTTCGTTTTTCATGGTGGAAATTGGTAAATCGTCATTTACCTACCTTCAAATATTCTGCAACTAGATTACGGCATCCCTCTTCTAGGTTGTAGAGTATTGTGTTGGATCCTAGCTTGATGTTTC